ATATATTATTTATGTATACTTATAAATATATACTATTTATTAACACATTTATATATTTGTTAACATATATTTATATATTAATGGTATATATTCATATATTTCTAAATATATATTGCTAATATATAAATATATATTTATAAATATATAGTTAATATATAAATGATATATTTCTAAATATATACATTTATATTAATATATAAAAATATATTTATAACATATATAATATATAACAATATATATTATATATGAATATATGAATATATATTTGTAATATGTAGCTTTTATATATTTAGAAATATATAAATATATAAATGGCCAACATTAATATATATTAATTGCATATATAATATACAATGTCCAACTGATTTTGTTACTATACTAATATACATTTATAAATTACATTATATATTATATATAAATATTTATATTTATTTATATATTGACATATATATTTATAAATATATGTATATAAATATACAAAATATATACATATACAAATATATGTATATACATATGTACGTATATACAAATATATGTATATATGTATATACATATATTAAATATATATTTATATTTATAAATACGTATTTGTAAATATATACATTTATATTTATAAATATAAATATGTATTTGTAAATATATACATTTATATTTATAAATATAAATATGTATTTGTAAATATAAATACATATATATATATATTTATGGAGGAAAGGTCTCACTCTGTTGCCCAGGCTGGAGTGCAGTGGCACCATCACAACTCACTGTAGACTCAACCTCCTGGGTTCAAGCAATCCTCCCACTTTAGCATCCTGAGTAGCTGGGACTATAGATGTATACTACCGTGCCTGCATAATTTTTAAAAATTTTTTTGTAGAGATGTGGTCTTATTATATTGCCCAGGTTGGTCTCGAGCTCCTGGCCTCAAGTCATTCTTCCACCTTGGTCTTCTAAAGTGCTGGGATTACAGACAGGAGCCACTGCGCCCGGCTCTGTAATACATTTTTTGTTAAGTGAATATATCTAAAAGTGATGATGCTTTTCCTAAACTTACGTACAGTATTCCTTTTTTCTGAAAGATGCTAGCCCCTGTTTAAAGAGAAAGAAATTACTCTCCTCTGAAAGCCGCACTTGGCAGCAAGATTTCTGGCTGGTTAGAAGCAGCGTGAGCCCGGACGCTGCAGCTGCAGTGGCAATGCCTAGCTCCCAACGAGTGCTGCTTACAGTGACTACATGTCCCTGCATTCAATCGTCCATCTAGCCATCTATTCACCTGGTCAGGTAAATGTTGGCGAAGATCTGGGTTCACACAGAACACAATACCCTTTCTCCAGAGGACCACTGACACAAAACTATTTGAATTAACATTCATACCTCCACTAATTTGGCAGAACAAAACAAGTTCATAAACCAATATACAGGTTGGTTGTTCAATGTAATTCCTTAGCAAAAAAAACATAAAGTGCATTAAGTATCAAGGAACAATAAGCCTTTCTCTGATTTTTAAAAGTGTTTTTGTGTGGCAATCCACAGCATAATAGGTTACTTAGAATGTAAGACACGCATACTAAAGAGCTTGTACAGAGGCTGGGAAGGACGACAGGAGAGGCAAAATCGAACAAAATATAAGTACTGGCACCTCCCCCTCTTTTAAGGAACCATGGCATTCAACAAGTGTTTGTTAAATGAGCCACTACCATATGCTCGACACCGTAAGGCATGTGGAGATGACAAAACACACTCTTGATCTGCTTTAAATCTGGTGAAGAAGTCCGGGGGTGTTTGCATCCCAAGTAGCACAGCATGGGGCCCAGCACTAGGCTAAACACGGGTGGCAGGCATTTGGAGGAGAGAGCAATCATGAGATCTAAGGGAAGGCTTCCAGAGGAGGGCATGCTAACAGGGGCTCTCAAATCTGAGCAGGCGCTTGAGAGGCAGCCAGGCAAGGAGGGGCGAGCACCGTCAACAACTTGGAAGAATCTAGAGCAATGGCTGTCACGGTGTGGATTCCATCACCACCACCACCACCACCAGTAGCAGCTTTTAAAAATGTAAATTCTCAGACCCACCCGAGACCTACTGAGTTAGCAACTGTGGGAATAGCACCCAATGATCTGTTTTGAACAAGTTCTCCAGGTGATTCGGAGGCACGCTTGAGTTTGAGAACCACTGAGTAAGAGCAGGCACTGCCCTCCCTTAAACTGGCTAAGCAGGAATCTCAGGGCTTTCCTCCCCTACACCCTCCTGCAAACCAGTGTCTAGGGAGCTAGGCAGTCATAGGGTATATGGAGAGCTGGGGGCTGACCACCCTCTTCCAGGCTGCTCAGATGGTACGCACTGTTAAGAACAACTACCTCTTCCACTGGCTTCACAAACCTCTCTCATGCATCTCCCTTCATGTCCTGGACTTCTAACTAACCACTGGATACTGGGAGACCCAGAGGCAGAAAAGAGATAAGCAGAGGAAGGAGGCAAATGGGATCTCTGTGAGCCCAGAAGTTTGGTGGTGATGACACGTTTCCCCCCAGGCTTGCAAAGCCTGTACCTATCCTATAACCAGAGAGTTGCAAGAAGCTCTAGAAGGCAAAGCAGCAGTTGGAATTCCACTTCTCTTCAATCAGATTGTTAGAAAGAGCAGCAGGAATATTTTGGAAACTGTTATTGAGCTAACGGAAATGTTTGCAGCCCCTGGGAGACTAATAGGATTTGCCAGGGCATGGCTTCAGGCACTCCTTTGCGATGTGCAACCTTTGCTGCTCCACATCTTCCCCATTTGTATAGCTCATATTCTTTTTGGAAGCACTTTGGTTTACATAAGCTTTTTCTTCTGATATACTAGTTTCTGGGCTGACCACACCACTGAAATGGTCCTTGCTAAGGTCATCAAGACTGTCAAGTGGCCCCAATATGCGCATGTGCAAAGAACCTTCTATTGTCAGTTCATAGGAGAGGGTGGAGCATGGAGAGGCCTCACCAACTCAACAGGGGGTGTCACACGGAGGCAGTTGTTGGATTGGACCTTGGGAGATGCCTGTAGAATGACACAGGTGAACCAGCTGCTACTCAAATAGGTTCACACGCACCTGAGATGACCACAGCTCTGTATCGACTGGGCAGCCAGCCTCCCACACACCCACGTTGTGACCTGCCTCTATATTTGAGCCTGGGAGTTGTGTTTTTGTTGTTGTCATTGTTATGAAAAGCAAATGAGCCATACTACAATACAGATGAATGTTGAAGACATCACGCTAAGTGAAATAAGCCAGTCATAAAAGGATGAATCTGCCGGGCACAGTGGCTCACACCTGTAATCCCAGCACTTTGGGAGGCCCAAGGCAGGCGAATCACCTGAGGTCGGGATTTTGAGGCCAGCCTGACCAACATGGAGAAACCTGGTCTCTACTAAAAATACAAAATTAGCCAGGCATGGTGGTGCATGCCTGTAGTCCCAGCTACTTGGGAGGCTGGGGCAGGTGAATCCCTTGAACCCGGGAGGCGGAGGTTGCGGTGAGCTGAGATCGCGCCATTGCACTCCAGCCTGGGCAACGAGAGTGAAACTCTGCGTCAAAAAAAATAAAGAATAAAAAAAAGAAGATGAATCCTGTATGATTCCACTTACTGAGGTACCTGGAGTAGTCAAATCCATAGAGACAGAAAGTAGAATGGTGGCTGCCAGGGGCTGGGAGAGGAGGTAAATGAGGAGTCACTGTTTAAAGGTACAGAATTTCAGATTTACAAGATGAAAAGAGTTCTGGAAATGGTTGTACAACAATGTGAACATACTTAATGCCACTGAACAGTGCACTTAAAATGGTTAGGATGGTAAATTTTACAATGCGTGTATTTTACCACTAATTAAAATTTGTCTTTAAAAAAAGTAAATGAGCTATTTTTGTCTTACTGCAGTGTGCCTAATTCAATAGGCAATAATCAAAATAACAATGAAAATAATGTTGATTTCCATACTTGGGAATTATTTAGGTGCATTCCATTATCATCCTCTATTTACAGATGAAAAAAGTGAGGTGAGAGGCTAGTATAGCCAAGCTCCTACTTCTCCCATGAATGAGGTGGGCTGAGATTCCAGCCCAGAGGTCTGTCTGACTCCAATGCAAGAGCTGTGAAGCCCATGCAACTTTCACCATGCCAACTTAGCTCATAAGAACAAAAATTCAGTGACTGTGTTGACATGCACACCTAAAGACCTCTGAGTCACTGGCCTGCCCTGGTGTGTTACACCAACACGTGTAATACACATATATTTTAATATTATGGTAGAAAGTTCTGGCAATGAACTTATGGAGAGAATTCAACAGTTCCTTGCTCTGTGGTAGGTATCTCAGGTCTGGAACACACAATGTCCAACTCTGATTTCACGGAATACATGCATCCAGCCCGCTGGCGAATGAATTCTCATTCTGTCAAGCACATCTCGGAACACATGCCTGCATAAAGCACGTCCCCAGCCTTTGAGGGTCTTAGAGCTAGAGACATTCCCGGATCTGGGTTCCACAATAGGCTGTACAGTGAAGAGCACAGGGAGCCTGGGCTACGGAAAGAAGCCCTGCAGAGCAGTGAGGGTCAGGGGTCGTAGCCACACATGAGATGTACATACTTGAGGCCAGCACAACATCCAGGGGGAAAAAGAGGGACACGCCACCTGCATTTCCAGGCTGAAGGGCAGTTGGCTTTGCTTCTAATGAGGCCCAGGAAAAACCCCTATGTGTCAGCAGGGCCTAAATGCTGGGTATCCAGTTCTCATCTGCTAATCCTGAAACCCACACTGCACCCCTCAACCTCACACTCACTTCTGCCCAAGTGCAGCAGCAAGGACAGAAGTGGCCTGTGTCTTCAGATAATATTGCTGGAGGATGTAAGAGGGAAGCTTGAGCCCCACTTCTCTTCTCCTTTCCTCCCAAGGTCTGTGGCAGTCAGTTCCCCTCCTGTGTTCCTTCCAGAGCCGCCCCACACCCACCCCAGAGGTGAAAGCGCAGCAGTACCTGGTGTGTGTCAGCGGACCCACCGGTCGCTCTGGCCTTCTCGGGGGCAGTGCGCCAGGTCTGCTGAGAGAATTGGTCTTAGGTGGCCGAGGCTTTTTTGGTGGTATGGCAGGAACGGAGGGCTTCTGTAAATCCAGTTTTGGCTCTCTCTCTGGTCTTTCTTTAAATCATTGTTTAAAGAAAACAGATAGATCTAGTGTAAGTGACAGTACTTAGATGCAGATCACTCATTTCCTGCTTAAAAAAAAAAAAATCACCGATGCTATTTCTGAAGGTGAATGTGGAAGGCCAAGAGCACCACTTATTCTTTGTCAGGTTAGAAGAAGTCCCACAGAGCTCACTGTTCCCTCCCTTGCACACCTTCACTCATGCTGGTCCTTCTGCCTGAAGCGCCCTTCTGGCCACTGCCCACCTTCAGCATACTCCAGTTCTTCCTTCGAAGCCTGGCTGAAACATGACACTGTCATGTTCCCTTCCCAACAGCTCAAAGGCAGACTTCCTTCCTTCCTTACCTGAGCATTACAGGGCAGCACTTTACAAACACGCTCAGACACTTTCTGGGTGTTTGCATGTTTGGCACGGCCTGTAGGCTGACAGCCTCTGAGGGGAGGGCCTAGGTCTGGTCAACTCCTTAGAGCTGTATGTGGTGCTGGCATGGAGTCAGGGCTCAGCAGAGGGCTGAGGGGTTTGGTTAGTGGCCCACAGGACTTGCTGGCTATGGCAAGGAAAGAGGCCTGACATGTCTCAGGGTGGCCTCTGAAAAGGGCCATGAGTCAATCAAAGGGAGAGCATTTCAGGGAACAATGAGTTCTGGATTCTTCTTGTGCACAGTTTGAACTTGGAAGGCAAACTAGGAGTTTACAGGTATATGGTTTCTAAGGCTTTTTGGAGTCAGAGCTATTAGAATGAAGTTGAAGCCAGATCTGTTGGACGAACGGGGCAGTGTTCAGTGACAGCCTCATATTTTCTGTTCCCAACTAGCCTTGCTCCGTGCATGGTATAAAAAGCATACATCCACATTCTTGTTGATAAAGATGGAACTTTAGAGAGTTGCCCATTAGACTATGGGCAGGTTCCCTATGCTTACTTGTAAGATGGTACTCAGGACAACTTTTACTTGCAAACACAGACTCATGTTGTTTGGGTCCCCAGATGGTTGGCAAAAGGTTAAAAAAACCCATCAGGGCTAGGTGCGGTGGCTTATATCTGTAATCCCAGAGCTTTGGGAGGGCAAGGTGGAAGGATCACTTGAGGCCAGGAGTTCGAGACCAGCCTGGGCAACAGTAAAACACCATCTCTACAAAAACTAGCCGGGCATGGTGGCACACACCTGTAGTCCCAGCTACTCAGGAGGCTGAGGCAGGAGGATTGCTTGAGCCCACAAGTTCGAGGCTGCAGTGAGCTACAATCGTACCACTGTACTCCAGGCTGGGTGACAGAGCAAGACTCTGTCTCTAAAAAAATAAAATAAAAATAAACCCATCAGGTATTATTGTGCTCATCCCCACAATGTGGGGAAATATGCTCCAATCAGGAATGCTGGGAACTCATATTATGGCACACAGGGGCCAGAGGAGGAAGGGCTCTGTTGAAATGCAAAGCAGGGGACATTTCTCCTGTTGCAGCAGGACAGGAACTCCAGCAGCCTGCAGGATGAATGGAAAAGGCAGTTTGTGCTGACCCAACAGGGAGAACAAGTCTCCGGGTAGGGCTGATTCCCTGGCTTCCCTATTGCATCTGACCAGGGATTCTGCCTCCCTGACCCACTGTGGCATAGAACAAGGGATCATGAGAGGGGAAGGAACTAGCAATGTGGGGCCGCTTGGTCAGCCAACTAGGGTGGTTGTTCACATGTAAGCCTAGTCCATAGGTCAGCATGGACTAGTGCAGGAAGTGTCCCTATCATGGAGACTGGCTATTACCCAGAAACTAGCCATGTATCCTCCATGAAGACAGAGGGTGGTGTCTGGTTAATTCACACCACACACTTTTTTTTTTTTTTTTTGAGACAGGGTCTCACTCTGTTGCTCAGGCTGGGGTACAGTGGCGTGATCACAGCTCACAGCAGTCTTGATCTCCAGACTCAAGCGATCCTTCCACCTCAGCCTCCCAAAGTAGTTGGGACTATGGACACAGGTCACCAGGCCTGGCTAATTTTTTTTTTTTTTTGGTAGAGACAGGGTCTTGCTATGTTGCCCAGGCTGGTCTTGAACTCCTGGGCTCAAGCAGTCCTCCCGCCTCAGCCTCCCAAAGTGCTGGGATTACAGGTGTGAGCCACTGTGCCCGGCCATACCAACACTTTTATACAAAGAGTTATTCATATGGTATATATTCAATGGCTGTTTTTTTCATCAATCTGTGACACAGACCTGGCCTTCACAATGAGGTTCCACAAGTCAAGTTCTAACTGCTAAATGCGAAAGAAAGAGGTATAGCTTCTTAAGAGCTTGCAATGTTGGTACAATTTTTGGCAGGCTGACATGAAATATTAAATTTCACAATAAAATTTCACGAGACCACCAAGGAGCACCTCCAAATAATTACATTCATTAATTCAGCATTTCTCTTGTGACTTAAAAATAACTGCTTTTTAAAATGGAATTTGCTCAGCCCCCTGTTCATAATAACTTAGCACTTTTCCCATAAAAATGTGTGATCAATCAATCCTAGACACCTAATAAAATAAGTCCTTCTACAGTATGCAGATTTCTTTGGGAGAGACTCTCAAAATGGTAGGAGTCAAACACGTTCATAAACCTGACTGCAGGACACACATTAAGCTACTTCCCAGCCAGTGACACTCCTGACCACCTTCAGGAGACTCCGGGGACCAAGCTGCTTTTCCCAGTATTGCCATGCCACCCTCCCCTCCTCCAGTATCCTTGACCAAGGACATTTGTTTGTAATAACGTTAACCAGAGTCAAGGGTCCATGAGTGACCAAAGAAAAGAGCTTTCATTTGTTTATTTCTCTGGATGTGAATTTCACTAAGCCAAATCCATCCATCAACAGTGAATGAGCACCTTGGGACACTAGGCATGAAGGACAGGCTAAGTGGAAACTGACAGATATATACCAGGCTCTAAAGGAACTTACACCTGACTTCAGGGTGCGGAGAGGGTGGCCGTGGTAGAGACATCAGGAAACAGCAGCGATGTGTTAATTGACTAGACTGGTAATTTTTCATATGATGAGAAATTCTGGTCCCACGAAGTACCACATAACCCTCTCCTACTTCCTTAGCAATAGGATTTGTAAAAGCAATCAAAACAAAACTATGATCACCATATTCCAAAGGAAAAGCAAATCCTGTGGGTATTCTGGACTAGCTGTGTAACAGACAGCTTCAGCTCTTGCTGTTCTAGAAGTGCCAATGAAGAATTGATTTCATACCTTTTTCTTCTGTTCTGTTTGGAAGCATTTCTGGTCTTTCGGGAGGTATCTTTTTAATTTCATGTTTTCTCTCAGTGGTGCCTAGGAGGGAAAGGGTAATAGTGATCAGAAAATGTTTTCTCTATTCAATTATTAGACACACCAGCATTTAAATCTTTATCAGGTAGAGCAAAGTCAATAAGTTTTTTTCCCCTGAGTTGGGTGTTAGCATTACCTGGCAAACACGAGCTGTTTAGAAACACAGCAGAAGTCATTTCTGGCCTATGTCGTTAAGCTCACCTGCCTAAGTATCCTTAATTTATAAGAACACCACTAATAATATTTTCTGATATTTAAGCCTGATTTCCTTAGGCATCAATATAGTCACAGGAAATCACTGGGTGGGGGTGGAGCATGTGTATAAATAAATGTCAATTATCAAACTTTACAAATAAGGGGCCACTGAATGTTGTGTTCTACCAATAAAAGGGGGTTTCATAGGAATCTGGATCCCATTTTGTGGCCATTTTAAAATAGGGCCTGGAATTATCTGATACTCCTCCCAGTAAGAGGTGAAGTCTACAGTCCCTTGCCACGAATGTGGGTGGGCTTGTGACTGCTTCAATCAGTGGCAGGAATGATACCATGTAACTTCCAAAACTGAGTCATAAAAGTCCCTGGAGTTTATGCTTTATTTGCTGGAATATTTAACCTCCATGTAAGAAGTCAACTACCCTGGAGAGGCCACATATAGATGCTCTAGCCTATAGCCCCAGCTGAGCCCAGCCTTCCAGGCACCCTTGCCAAGGGGAGCCAGACATGTGAGGGAAACATTCATCCTCGAAGTGGATCCTCCAGCTTCAGCTAGTTCAGTATTCCCAGCTGAGGTCCCAAATATGATGGAGCAGAGACAAGCCATCCCAGCCATGGCCTGTTCTTGACCCACAGAATCCATGAACATAAGAAGGTTGTTGTTTTATGCCACCAAATTTGGGGTCCTTCAAGTATTACATTTTTTCAAATGTACCACTTAGCATTTAGTCTTTACCCACATGGACTGCAACTGCTCCCTTACCTGGGGTTTTCTCATTGGCGCCAGTGGCCTCAGGCATGTAAAAGCACTTGAGAAATAGCTAAAGCACAAACCAGTCAAAAGTACTCCTCTTATGTATGGACTGGGTTGAGTTCTTAACAAACTCTTTACATGACCAGTTCCAAAGATGGGTGCTTAGTACTAGAAATCTCAATTACACAACCTCAGAGGACAAAAGAAGTTAAAAAAATATCCACCAAACACACCCTTTACTTAATTCCTCTTAATGACTCACTACAAATTAATCACTGCATCTCATTTCTGTCAATTTCATATCTGATTTTTTTTTAGTAAAATAATCAAACACGAGGAAAGCTGATGATAGAGAAAATATGAATATCTATCTCCCCATTACAAAGGAGTTCCCAATATCATTCAGGCAGGATAAATGAGCAGTAATCTATGAAGATTAAATGCCATCTTGCTTTGCCCCACAGAGACCCATCATAAACTTTGGTAAAATTGTTTTAAAAGGGTAAGAATTTGCCTACCATGCTACAATCTACTCACCTAACAATAATGAAGTCAGTATCATTCCTAGAGACACAGAAAGAACTGACAATCCTACTATACTGAAGAATCCAATCTTAGCTACATTCTAGACTGCCTGAGCCTTGGACTCCTCAACTAATCTCCATGGTCTCTGATCAATTACCAAGGCCTACAGGGAAAGGGGTCTTCAGAGAAAAGCAAATAAATAGCTTGCTTCAATTTCAGCACAATAAAATATATGGCCAGAACCACTAGGTGGCAAAATGAAACTGCTCAATGCAAACAAGGATGGGGGCGGAGCAAAAGATGTAATTAACATCCCATTTCAGGACTTAATCTCTATAATTCTCAACTATGCCAAAGGGAATGGGAAAGGAATTTGGGGTCAAGCTTTTCCTCCTAACTTGGTGGGCCAAAAGAACTTAAAAATCACTTCTTACTAAGTTTATGAATAAACCAATCTGGAAATTTATTCATAATTTAACTGTTATAGAAATATCATAATTGTGAATGTGTAGAACTAAAAATACCCCTTCTCTTCTATTTTAGTTGTTAATTTTTTAAAATGCTACTTAACTAATTATTCATGGAGGAATTTTTCCCTATAATTAATTTTAACTATTATAAAGAGGAGTTCTACTGGGAAATATGAAATATCTTTTTATATATGAGAATCCAGTGTGAAACGAGTTACCAAATGTTCGACATCAATTCTTCCTCTATTATTCAACCTGAATATCTGAACTACACAGAAAAAAAAGTGAATCAGACTCTTCAAAATTAAAAAAGAATCATGAGGAAAAGTATTGCTAGAAAAACATCTTTTTGCTGAGGCGTAAGTGAAGTCAGTACAGATTTTGGTTAACCGCACGGGACAGACATTGAAAATTCAGCAACACTGTACATGCACAACAATGCTATGACCCGTGGGAAACAATCTTCCCTAAGCTGACCTTCAACTGGACACAGGTGAAACAGGGCAATTAAGTTCTTTTCTCCTCAAAAGCTGTTTACTTAAAAAACCCAAACTTGTTTTTTCTTTAAATTCTTTCTGATCATTCTCTTTGGGAGCCTAGATTTTTACACTATATCAGGGTCACATTTTAATGGTATGTTTATCTTTTAGGAAAAACAGAAGTATCTTTAAAACCTGCCTGCTGAGATCAAATCGTAACTTCCCAAGTTGTCAATCTATGGCACTTGAACCAGGAATCCTGAACTCTACACTGAGGATGATTTGAATATATGCAAAAAGAAAGATGCACATTTTATTTGATGGAACCGAAAGGTACATTACCTGCCCCTTGTTTGATGACAGGAGCGGATGGAGGCGGTGGCTTCTTGGGTCTCTGAAAAATTAATAAAAATTAATAAAAATTATACCACATGAGACTGTTGGCAAGCCTGTCCTCTCACAGAAGGACCACAGACATTGTTTTCTAAGTGCAGTTTGGACAATTTAGAGAACCTCTCCAAAAAAATTGAGCAATTCTCTCTCCAGGGACGTCAGTTTTTGGCACCTCTAAATAAACACTACAATAAATCCAGTCGGCAAAACAAAACTCCAATCGACAAATGAAACGCCATTTCCCCCTTTCTAAATTTGTAACAGCCTTCTGGAAAAGCACGGCTCAGCAAAAATGGCCTGAAACCAGCAAGCACAATGGTACTCCTACGCTGAAGCTGCATTTGCAATTAAGATTTAATCTGCTGAATAACCATGCAATTCAAAAAGAGTCACTGTAAAGATTCAAAATCGAATCTGCTCTGGATGTAGGACTTTCAACAAAATGCAGGCTGAGGGCCCACTGCAGCCACATCAGGTTGCAAGCCTTTTGCCCCTTTCTATGCTGAGGCTGGCAGGCCATTTGTTAGACATCCCACAGACTCATTGTACACGTGATAAACTGGAACAGAGAGGGATTTTTTTGTTGTTGTTTTTGTTTGTTTGTTTTTGCTTCTTTTTTGTTGTTTGTTTTTTGCATATCAGCCGTGATTTGTTTTTCTCACACGCTGTCACTCTGTAGGTGATGGAGGCAGCAGTGCAATCAATGGCATTCATCCCTGAACTGGTTCCAGAGTAGCCAGCATTTTCTTGCCACCCAGGATTGACTGGGAGAGAGATGATCAGACTGGACTTGGCAAATTATTACATGGCCAAAGAATCCAGCCAGGGCACTGTTCTCAGACAGCTGTATTAGGGGGAAGAGGGACCGAGGGCAAGTGGAGAACTATCTCAACATCAAATCATTAAGGAAGGAAGGAAGGATGAGAACGGGGGAGGGTTTGAGCAGAAGATCCACATCCCTGCTGACACTTCTCATCCTCTCTGGGCATCATATACTTATGATTTTTAAAAAGCTCCACGAAGTCTCTTCTGCTCTCTGAAAATGTACTACTGTGACATTACCATTACCAAGGGGAAGCCAAAGCACCCACCCATCACCAGCCCTGACCCATCAGTGCCTGATGCAGCACTGCAACATGGAAAGAAATGGTTTTAAATAAAACCCAGAGAATATTACATCCACAGGGAACTTTCTCAGGGGGCATCATAGCATGTAGGCTCTGGATTCAATCACATATCAGCTTTGTTTTTTACCAGCTAGGTGATTCAAGCCAAGTTATTCCATTAGGTGCAGGCTGGGGGTGGGGGAGTTCAGAACTTTACTGGCATTATAAATCCTGGCTCTTTCCAATATTACCCACAGATGTGGGGCAAGTGACCTCACAAAACTGAACCTTCTCATCTATAAATGATAATATGACCTCCCTCTTAGGAGAAGTTAAATTCATAAGCAGAAGTAAGTACTGACTTGTTTAACCTGCGTGACAGTGATATGATACCCATTTTGCAGACGAAATAATTGAGGCTTTGAGAGATGAAGTCATTTCTTGAGGTAACCAGGCTACTAAAAGGGGTTGGGGGCATGGCTAGGTATCAGGCCCAGGGCTGCCTGACCCACAGGCGTGCTGTTGGCCACCGTGAGATCCATCCTGCCAGAAAATGTCCACAAGACAAACCATCACACAGCCATGAAACCACACACAAGGAGTTAAACACAGGGAACTGTATTGTGTTAAAGCTGAAAAAAAGGATATCAAATTGCAGCTATAGTATGAGCTCAACTAGGCTGCAACATACACAGAAAGAAAAAGAGGAAAGAAATTTAAAGCAGTGATCTCTGATTCTGGGTACATATGTGTGTGCATGTGTGTGTGTGTGTGTGTGTGTGTGTGTGTCATTCTTAATGTTTTTCTGTATTGTCTCTATGAGTGCAGAGAAATATACTTTATTAAAATAAAGAAAGCTGCTCTAAGAGCCACCTGCCCTTACACACAGGTGCTCTGTGGGATGGATGTGTTTCTGCCTCATGGTCTCACATTATTCTTTCCCCTTTTGCCTGCCCCTTCTAGTTCTCCACTAACTCTTTTTCTTCCTTCCTTCTCTGTCACTGTGTTAATTAGACTGGGGACAGATGTGTGTTTACCTAACAAAATCAGTGAAGTTCTGCCAGTTAACCTTCCTTTACCTCAGAATCAGAGTACAGGCATACCTCAGAGATACTGCAAACTCAATTTTAGACCACTGCAATAAAGCGAGTCACAAGAATTTTTTGGTTTCCTGGTGCATATAAAAGTTATGTTTATGCTTTACTGTAGTTTATTCAGTGTGCGATAACATGTCTAAAAAAGCAATGTACGTACCTTAATTTAAAAATACTTCACTGCTAGAAAAAACTAACGATCATCTGAGCCTTCAGCAAGTTGTAAACTTTTTGCTGGGGGAGAGTCTTGCCTCAATGTTGACAGCAGCTGACTGATCAGGGTGGTGGTGGCTGAAGGTTGGGGTGACTGTAGCAATTCCTTAAAATAAGACAACAACGAAGTTTGCCGTATCAATTGACTTCCTTTCGTGAAAAATTTTTCTATATCATGCGATGCTATTTGATAGCATTTTACCCAGAGTAGAACATCTTTCAATACTGGAGTCAATCCTCTCAAATTCTGCCACTGCTTTATCAACTAAGCATATGTAAGATTCTAAATCCTTTGTTGTCATTTCAACAATGTTCACAGCATCTTCACCAGGAGTAGATTCCATCTCAAGAAATCACTTTCTTTGCTCATCCATAAGAAGTAACTCTTCATTTATTCAAGGTTGATCATGAGATTGCAGCAATTCAGTCACATCTTTAGGCTCCACTTCCAATTCTAGTTCTCTTGCTATTTCTGCCACACCTGCAGTTATTTCATCCACTGAAGTCTTGAACCCCTGAAAGTCATCCCTGAGGGTTGGAATCAACTTCTTCCAACCCCTGTTACTGTTGATATTTTGACCTCCTCCCATGAATCAAAAATATTCTTACTGGCATCTAGAATGGTGAACCCTTTTCAGAATTATTTCAATTGACTTTCCCCAGATCCATCAGAGGAATCACTATCCACGGCAGCTATAGCCTTATTTCTTAAATAACAAGACTTGCAAGTTGAAAAGACTCTGATCCATGGGCTGCAGAATGGATGTTGTAGTAGCAGGCATGAAAACAGAAATCATCTTCTTATACATCTCCATCAGAGCTCTTGAGTGACCAGGTGCATTGTCAATAAGCAGTAATATTTTAAAAGGAATTTTTTTTTTTCTAAGCAGTAGGTCTCAACAGTGGGCTTAAAATATTTAGTAAACCATACTGTAAACAGATGTGCTATCATCTAGGCTTTGTTTTTCCATCTATAGAACAGAGGCAGAGTAGATTTAGCATAATTCTTTTTTTGTTGTTTTTATTTTTGAGATAGGGTCTCACTCTGTCACCCAGGATGGAGTGCAATGGTGCGATCACAGCTCACTGCAGCCTTGACCTCCCAGGCTCAAGAGATCCTCTCACTTCAGCCTCCCAAGTAGCTGAGGCCACAGGTGCACATCACTGTTGCGGGAAGTCAGAGACCCCGAACCAAGGGACCGGCTGAAGCCGCGGCAGAAGAACATAAATTGTGAAGATTTCATGGACATTTATTAGTTCCCCAAATTAAGACTTTTATAATTTCTTACACCTGTCTTTACTGTAATCTCTGAACATAAATTGTGAAGATTTCATGGACACTTATCACTTTCCCAATCAATACCCTTGTGATTTCCTATGCCTGTCTTTACTTTAATCTCTTAATCCCGTCATCTTCTTCGTAAGCTGAGGAGGATGAATGTCGCCTCAGGACCCTGTGATTGTACCAACTGCACAAATTGTTTGTAGAGCACGTGTGTTTGAACGATACGAAATCTGGGCATCTTAAAAAAAAAAAAGAACAGGATAACAGCGATGTTCAGGGAACCAGAGAGGTAACTTTGAACTGGCCGCCAGTGAGGCGGATGGAACAGAGCTATATTTCTCCTCTTTCATAAGCAAATAGGAGAAATATTGCTGAATTCTTTTTCTCAGCAAGGAACATCCCTGAGAAAGAGAATGCGCCCTGAAGGTAGGCTTATCGACAGCCCCTTTTAAGGTGTCCCGTCTTTTGTGGTCGAAGGCCCCTTTTAAGGTGTCCTGTCTTTTATGGTCGAAGCCGAAGGGATGAAATAAGCCCCAGTATCTTGTAGTGCTCCCAGGCTTATTAGGAGGAGGAAAATTCCCACCTAATAAATTTTGGTCAGACAGGTTATCTGCTCTCAAACCCTGTTTCCTGATAAGATGTTATCAACGACAATGCGACAATGCGTGCTGGAAACTTCATTAGCAATTTGAATTTCGCCTCATCCGGGGGTCCTGTGATCTCGCCCTGCCTCCATTTGCTTTGTGATATTTTATTACCTTGTGAAGTATATGATCTCTGTGACCCACACCCTATTCGTGCACTCCCTCCCCTTTTGAAAATCGCTAATAAAAACTTGCTGGTTTTACGGCTCGGGGAACATCACGGATCCTGCTGACATGTGATGTCTCCCCCCAACACCCAGCTTTAAATTTCTCTCTCTTGTGCTCTTTCCCTTTATTTCTCAACCCAGCCGAGACACTTAGGAAATAGAAAAGAACCCACGTTAAACATCGGGAGCAGGTTCTCCCGATACACCACCACAACTGGCTAGTTTTGTTTATTTGTAGAGATGGAGTCTTGCTATGTTGCCCAGGCAGGTCTCAAACTCCTAGGCTCAAGTGATCCTCCTGCCTTGGCCTCCCAAAGTGCTGAGATTATAGGCGTGAGCTGCCGTGTCTGGCAGCATAATTCTTAAGTGCCCCAGGATTTTCAGAATGGTAAATGAGCACCGGTTTCAACTTAAAGTCACCAGATGCATTAGCCCCTACCAAGAGAGTCAGCCTGCCCTTTGAAGCTTTGAGGCCAGATATCAACTTCTCTA